TTGTTAATGTTGTAAATGGCTATTGTAGCTGGAAACGGTCGATTTTTAATGGAATATCTACATAGGTGTGTAGAGGCCCATTATCAGCAACCATCAGTCCTGTGTTCCAATGGCACGTTGTGTTTGCTAATCCAAGTTTATCATTTTAAAAGCCAAATTGATCATTAGAAAACCCTTTTGCAATTATCTTAGCACAGCTGAAAACTGTTGTGCTGATTAAAGAAGCAATAAAACTGGCCTTCTTGAGACTAGTTGAGTATCTGGAGCATCAGCAATTGTGGTTTCGATTACAGGCTCAAAGTGGCCAGAAACAAATCACTTTCTTCGAAACTTGTCAGTCTATTCTTGTTCTGAGAAATGAAGGCTTTTCCATGCGAGAAATTGCCAAGAAACTGAAGATCTCGTACAACAGGTCCTCAACTGGCAGCTTCATTAAATAGTACCCGCAAAACACCAGTCTCAACGTCAACAGTGAAGAGGCGACTCCGGGATGCTGACCTTCTAGGCAGAGTTGCAAAGAAAAAAACATATCTCAGACTGGCCAATAAAAAGAAAAGATTAAGATGGGCAGTCTGAGATATGGCTTTTTCTTTGCAACTCTGCCTATAAGGTCAGCATCCCGGAGTCGCCTCTTCACTGTTGACGTTGAGACTGGTGTTTTGCGGGTACTATTTAATGAAGCTGCCAGTTGAGGACCTGTTGTACGAGATCTTCAGTTTCTTTCTACCTTCTGGCATTTGGAAATTGCTCCCAAGGATGAACCAGACTTGTGGAGGTCTACCATTTTTTTTCTGAGGACTTGGCTGATTTCTTTTGATTTTCCCATGATGTCAAGCAAAGAGGCAGTGAGTTTGAAGGTAGGCCTTGAAATACATCCATAGGTACACCTCCAATTGATTTAAATGATGTCAATTAGCCTATCAGAAGCTTCCAAAGCCATGACATCATTTTCTGGAATTTTCCAAGCTGTTTAAAGGCACAGTCAACTTAGTGTATGTAAACTTCTGACCCACTGGAATTGTGATACAGTGAATTATAAGTGAAATAATCTGTCTGTAAACAATTGTTGGAAAAATTACTTGTGTCATGCACAAAGTAGATGTCCTAACTGACTTGCCAAAACTATAGTTTGTTAACAAGAAATTTGCGGACTGGTTGAAAAACGAGTTTTAATGACTCCAACCTAAGTGTATGTAAACTTCCGACTTCAACTGTATGTACTGTATTCCCGACATTGCTTATCCTAATATACCTACTACTGTAAATACCATTTTATTTTCCAAATTGTATACTATCTATACACACCACATACTTATATTCTGGATTCTGACACTGAACACTCCAATATATCTACTTTGGATTGTTAATTGGACTCGTTCTGACATTTCTTGATTTCTTGTTTGGATTTTTTTACATTCTACTGCACTGTTGGAGATAGTAACATAAGCATTTCACTGCACCTGCTATAACACCTGCAACTCTGTGTACGCGACCAATAAACTATGATTTCATTTGAAGTTGAGCCAATTGAGCCAAAGTTGAGCCACCATACCCCATACAAATGATGATTACATTGTGTCAGTTTTATGCATAATATGCATAGTATTTTTAAAAGGTGTCATGTATACAGGTGTAGGATCTTAATTTGATCACTGTTTTGTTACTAAGAATTGTATATGCACACCAGGAAATGCAAAGTTGTAGTGTATTCACATTTAAAAAGGCTTCTAAAGTTTGTAATTTCCACTTTAAAATGTCAGACTTGATTTGCCCTAACAAAAAAATGTATCAAACCATACAAAAAATTTCCATTAATTATAATCCACATAATAATTCACATTTCCTGTTGCTGCAGGATAATTTTTCTGCTGTAGAAAACTGGCTCAAATTAAGATCCTCCATCTGTATGAACTCAAGATAGTGCTTTTTTATTGTTACAGAGCAGACATCATCGTGCCTGTGTATACAAACGTAAAACAAGGAGCCACCCCTGAGGTTCTTGAGAGAGCAGCCAAGAAAGTGAGAGAAGGGAAGAATTCAATTTGAGCAGCAGCAAGGGATTAAAAAATAGATTGTGTGACACTGAAGAGGTACATTGATCAAAAGCAAAACGAACATTTACCTGTGCACAAGAGAGACTATGATAGAGTAGCAGAGGCACACAAGGTCTTATCTGATGACATGGAGTCTGAGCTTGCTAAACATACTGTATCAAGAATCTCACAGACCAGTTTCATGGGCTTAGTAGCCTCAAATGCAGATTGAAACAAAATCCCTGTCCCAGACAACTGGCCAAGAAATTATAGGGTAAGGGATATTTAACAGAGAGATCTATATCTGAATGTAGGCATACATTTAAGATATACAATATACCACAACCTCAACCCATGAATTAAACTTTGACCTATCAGCACCATCACCCAATTACCCTAAGGCGGCTAAATTTACCCTGTCCCTATGCTCAATTTACCCCATACCTATGTTTTCAAAACTGTTATGTTTACATGAATACTGATTATTTCCAGGGATACACAACATCCTGAAATATATGTAGATAGATTTGTTAGAAATAATATCAGATTTCTCTTGATGTAGTGATTCTGAATGAGAGAAAAAACAGCTCAACTTACCCCACTCTCCCCTAGCCCATTACAATCAGATTCGCTACATTGGCTATTCAGGGTCATAGGTGAACAAACATGTGATATTAAGTTCAAAGGGCAACTTTACAAACATCTGAACTTCAATCATTGTGCTTTGTTAGTTATTTTCACAAAGAGCAAGATTGATGGCAAGTTTATGAAAGCCTGTACCAATACCAGAGGTTGGTGTGAATAGTACACGGCGTACTCTCTCATTTCAGAATTTTTCATGTAGTTTACTGTCATCATTGTTGCTGAAACGTTGCGGCAGTAAACTAGGTCTGTAGGCTGTACATAGAATAGAGCCACAGCTCTACAACATCCGGGCATTCCTCAGCCTGCGCAGAAACGGAATGGCGGAGGTAAGTGAGCAAAAGGGCTTGGGGAGGAATGTGAGGACTAAATTATACTGAAACAGCTCTGCATTTGGGAGCCTCTGTCATCCAAGACGGCAGCTATCGATGTTGACAATCGTATCAACTGGTTACACAGGGTTGTGAATGAAATATGGGTTGATAACTAAGGAAGTAAAATGGGGGCATTTTGTCACAGTCTCGCCTCTCCGCGTTCTTCGTGTTAAAGAGCCATTCCCAATTTGCCAGATAGTGCGCTATAGAAAACAATCGGAGACCGGCTCTACGGTGGTGCTGAAGAAGTGGTCCAGGTGTGCTCCGTTCGTAATGCATTTGGACTGCAAACTTTGAGAGAAGTCCGACATATTTCAGTTACTCTGTCGGTGTCTTTTCGGGTGGAAACGCAATAGCCAGAACTATTTCCTTCTCGTGCCATTTGTGAGTCAGAGGAAGGAACGTTCAGCACCAAGTTACAGGAAAGCGCCCTGGCCCTGGTCATTGCGTCCTGAAGTGGCCATAAACGTACCTTTCACTAATGTATTGTTTGTGAGAGTATTCGCCCAAAATATTTTTAGGAGACCACTGCTGTATTTGCATGAGGTGAGAACGAACTCTTGACTGTTGGTTCATAGGTCAACTCGATTAGTAGATTTTCTATTTTGACAAAAAGTCAAGTTTTTGTAATACTGTTGGATTAACTTCGGCCATTCTTTAATTAATGAGTGGTTGTAAGGCAACTTTGAATTATAGAACAAGTAAAAAGACTTGTAACACTTTACACAACAGCAGGTAAGCCTAAAACGTATTATTATAAACTGGGTGGTTCGAGCCCTGAATGCTGATTGGCTGAAAGCCATAGTATATCAGACCGTAAAACCACGGGTATGACAAAAACATTAATTTTACATTACATTTTAGTCATTTAGCAGACGCTCTTATTGTTACTGTTCTAATTACGTTGGTAACCAGTTTATAATAGCAATAAGGCACCTCGGGGTTTGTGATATATGGCCAATATACCTCGGCTAAGGGCTGTATCCAGGCACTCTGCATTGTGTCGTGAAAGGAACAGCCCTTAGCCGTGGAATATTGGCCATATACTACATCCCCTCGGGCCTTATTGCTTAATTATACTGCTATAATGCATTGTAGGACTGCTGATAAGCATGTATGACAGGCCTTATAATGTTTTATTATAATCTCATAATGATCCTGACTAAATAAAAGCTATTGACTATTTGTGCACAAATTTGTTTACATCCCTGTCAGTGAGCATTTTATCCTTAGTCAATATAATCCATCCACCTGACAGGTGTGGCATATCAAGAAGCTGATTAAACAGCATGATCATTACACACGTGCACCTTGTGCTGGGGACAATAAAAGGCCACTCTAAAATGTGCAGTTTTGTCACACAACACAATGCCACAGATGTCTCAAGTTTTGAGGGAGCATGCAATTGGCATGCTGACTGCAGGAATTTCCACCAAAGCTGTTGCCAGAGAATTGAATGTTAATTTCTCTACCATAAGCCGCCTCCAACGAAACAAGAATTTGGCAGTACATCCAACCGGCCTCACAACCGCAGACCACGTGTAACCACACCAGCCCAGGACCTCCACATCCAGCTTCTTCACCTGCGGGATCGTCAGAGGGGGGAGGGGTGGGGGTAATAAATCCCCTTTTGTAGGGAAAAAGACATTCTGATTGGCTGGGCCTGGCTCTCCAGTGGGTCGGCCTGACTCCCAAGTGGGTGGGCCTATGCCCTCCCAGGCCCACCCATGGCTGCGCCCCTGCCCAGTCATGTGAAATCCATAGATTAGGGCATAATGCATTTTTTTCAAATGACTGATTTCCTTATATGAACTGTAACTCAGCAAAATCGTTGAAATTGTTGCATGTTGCGTTTATATTGTTGTTCAGTATATAATGGGATGAACAGGGATCAGGCACCTACTGATCCTCTACGATGGTAACCCTTCGTGTGTGTGTCTTAGCTGGTTCGATGGGCTCTGGAGATCACAGACGCAGCCTAGTGGAGATCCTGAGGCAGGGCTATGAGGGGCCAGAGGAGGAGTCCAGGGCCCTAGTGGAGCTTCAGAAGAGCCTGGGGGCCTCACACTCACAGGGCCGCCCAATGAAGATGGCAGCACGTCCCCAAAATGTGAGTACAGCTCCTCTGGCATCTGGTGTGGTGTGCTGACCCATTGGAGGCACCACAACTTTACTGGTGGGCTGGGACAAAAGCCTTACCTCACTGCATCCCTCTAGACCAGTAGTGAATAACATTATTCTATAAAATTGATTGTCAATTATTCCATAATGTGATGGATTAATGGATTCTAGCCAAATTGACACTTATTTCGCTCTCGCTCTCTCTCTCTCGCTCTCTCTGTCTCTCACTCTCTGTGTAGGGCTGTGAGATGCCCCTGGAGGACCTGCTGTCTCTGTATGGGTATGAGGTGTCTGATCCCCTCCTGCAGCAGGACAGGGAGCCCAACGAGCTAGCAGCCAGTCTACCTGACATGACACTGGACAAGGTGAGACCTGGGTATACCTAGACATACCTGAGACTGGAGTAATGCCCAGATAAAAGTGTAAACAGGAAAGCATTGCAGAAGGGGTGAACCACTCAGGCCCTCCAGTTCCAGTCTGGCTGATTTTCTCTTTTGTTTCTTCTTAGTACTTAATTTATTCATTTGTTAGTAAATCAAATCAATTTTTATTTGTCATATGCTCCGAAAGCTTACTTACGAGCCCTTAGCCAACAATGCAGAGTTTTAAAAAAGTAAGAAAAAATTGCTCAATGAACAAAACCAAGAAATAGTAGCACAATAACGAGGATATATGCAAGTGGCCCGGTACCAAGTCAATGTGCAGGGGTACGGGTTAGTCCAGGCATGTGTGTTTGCATGTGTCAATATGCATGTGTGTTTGTCCGTGTGTGTGTGTCTGTTGGAGTGTCAGTGTAGTATGTGTGAGTGTGTGGTTAGAGTCCAGTGAGTGTACATCGAGTCTGTGCAAGAGAGTCATTGCATATACATTGCATTCGGAAAGTATTCAGACCCCTTGACTTTTTCCACATTTTGTTATGTTACAGCCTTATTCTATAATGGATTAAATAGTTTTTACCCCCTCATCAATCTACACACAATACCCCATAATGACAAAGCAAAAAAACGTTTCTTTAGAAAAATAATCTAATTTATAACAAATAAAAAATGGAAATATCACATTTACATAAGTATTCAGACCCTTTACTCAGTACTTTGTTGAAGCACCTTTTGCAGTGATTACAGATTCGAGTATTCTTGGGTATGATGCTACAAGCTTGGCACACCTGTATTTGGGGAGTTTCTCCCATTCTTCTCTGCAGATCCTCTCAAGCTCTGTCAGGTTGGATGGGGAGCGTTGCTGCACAGCTATTTTCAGGTCTCTCCAGAGATGTTCGATCGGGTTCAAGTCTGGGCTCTGGCTGGGCCATTCAAGGACATTGAGACTTGTCCCAAAGCCACTCCTGCGTTGTCTTGGCTGTGTGCTTAGGGTCGTTGGCCTTCACGCCAGTCTGAGGTCCTGAGTGCTCTGGAGTAGGTTTTCATCAAGGAACTGTCTGTACTTTGCTCCGTTCATCTTTCCCTCGATCTTGACTAGTCTCCCAGTCCCTGCCGCTGAAAAACATCCCCACAGCATGATGCTGCCACTACCATGCTTCACCGTAGGGATGGTGCCAGGTTTTCTCCAGACGTGATGCTTGGCATTCAGGCCAAAGAGTTAAATCTTGGTTTCATCAGACCAGAGAATCTTGTTTCTCATGGTCTGAGAGTCCTTTAGGTGCCTTTTGGCAAACTCCAAGCGGGCTGTCATGTGCCTTTTACTGAGGAGTGGCTTCCGTCTGGCCACTCTACCATAAAGGCCTGATTGGTGGAGTGCTGCAGAGATGGTTGTCCTTTTGGAAGGTTCTCCCATCTCCACAAAGGAACTCTGGAGCTCTGTCAGAGTGACCATCGGGTTTTTGGTCACCTCCCTGACCAAGGTCCTTCTCCACCGATTGCTCAGTTTGGCCGGGCGGCCAGCTCTAGGCAGAGTCTTGGTGGTTCTAAAATTCTTCCATTTATGAATGATGGAAGCCACTGTGTTATTGGGGACATTCAATGCTGCAGACATTTTTTGGTACCCTTCCCCAGATCTGTGCCTCGACACAATCCTGTCTCGGAGCTCTACGGACAATTCCTTCAACCTCATGGCTTGGTGTTTGCTCTGACATGCACTGTCAACTGTGGGACCTTATATAGACAGTTGTGTGCCTTTCCAAATAATGTCCAATCAATTGAATTTACCACAGGTGGACTCCAATCAAGTTGTTGAAACATCTCAAGGATGGTCAATGGAAACAGGATGCACCTGAGCTCAATTTCTAGTGTCATAACAACAGGTCTGAATACTTACGTAAATAAAGTATTTCCGTTTTTTTATTTTAATACATTTGCAAACATTTCTAAAAACCTGTTTTTACTTTGTCATTATGTGGTATTGTGTGTAGATTGATCAGGATTATTATTTTTTAAATCCATTTTAGAATAAGACTGTAATGTAACAAAATGTGGAAAAAGGGAAGGAGTCTGAATACTTTCCGAATGCATTGTATAAGAAGGGGGTCAATGTAAATAGTCCAGGTAGCCATTTGATTAACTGTTCAGTATTCTTATGGCTTGTCGGTAGAAGCTGTTAATGTGCCTTTTAGTCCCAGACTTGGCACTCTGGTACCGCTTTCCGTGCAGTAGCAGAGAGAACAGTCTATGATTTGGGTGGCTGGAGTCTTTGACAATTTGTAGGGCCTTCCTCTGACACCGCCCACTGCCTGGTATAGAGGTCCTGGATAGCAGGGAGTTCGACCCCAGTGATGTACTGGGCCGTACGCACTACTCTCTGTAGCGCCTTGCGGTCGAATGCCGAGCAGTTGCCATACCAAGCGGTAATGCAACCAGTCAGGATGCTCTCGATGGTGCAGCTGTAGAACTTTTGGAGGATCTGAAAACCCATGCCAAATCTTTTCAGCCTCCTGAGGCGGAAGAGGCGTTGTCATGCCCTCCTCACGACTGCGTTGGTGTGTTTGGACCATGATAGGTCCTTTGTGATGTGGACACCAAGGAACTTGAAACTCTCAACCTTTTCCACTACAGCCCCGTCGATGTGAATGGGGGTGTGCTCGGCCCTCCCTTTCCTGTAGTCCACGATCAGCACCTTTGTATTGCTCACGTTGAGGGATAGGTTGTTGTCCTAGCAACACACTGCTAGGTCTCTGACCTCCTCCCTATAGGCTATCTCATCTTGTCATCGTGTCGGCGGCAAACTTAATGATGGTGTTGGAGTTGTGTGTGACCACGCAGTCGTGGGTTAACAGGGAATACAGGAGGGGACTAAGCACGCACCCCTGAGGGGCCCCATGTTGAGGGTCAGCGCGGCGTATGTGTTGTTGCCTACCCTCACCACCTGGGGGCATCCCTTTGGGAAGTCCAGGATCCAGTTGCAAAGGGAGGTGTTCAGTCCCAGGGTCCTTAGCTTAGTGATGAGCTTGGAGGGCACTATGGTGTTGAATGCTGAGCTGTAGTCAATGAACAGCATTCTCACGTAGGCGTTCCTTTTGTCCAGGTGGGAAAGGGCAGTGTGGCGTGCAATAGAGATTGCGGCGTCTGTGGATCTGTTTGGGCGGTATGCGAATTGGAGTGGGTACAGGTTTTCCGGGATGCTGGTGTTGATGTGAGCCATGACCAGCCTTTCAAAGCATTTCATGGCTACAGATGTAAGTGTTACGGGTCCAGAGTCATTTAGGCAGGTTACCTTGGCATTCGTGGGCACACGGACTATGGTGGTTTGCTTGAAACCTGTAGGTATTACAGACTGGGTCAGGGAGAGGTTGAAAATGTAAGTGAAGACATTTGCCAGCTGGTCAGCGCGTGCTCTGAGTACGCGTCCTGGTAATCAGTCTGGTCCTGCGGCCTTGTGAATGTTAACCTGTTTAAAGGTCTTACTCACATCGGCTATGGAGAGAGTGATCACACAGTCGTCCGGAACAGCTGGTACTCTCATGCATGGTTCAGTGTTGCTTGCCTCATAGCGAGCATAGAAGGCATTTAGCTCGTCTGGTAGGCTCGCGTCACTGGGCGGCTCGTGGCTGGGTTTCCGTTTGTAATCCGTGATTGCTAGCCCTGCCACATCCGACGAGCGTTAGACCCGGTGTAGTAGGATTCGATCTTAGTCCTGTATTGACGCTTTGCCTGTTTGATGGTTCGTCGTAGGGCGTAGCGGGATTTCTTATAAGCGTCCGGATTAGTGTCCCGCTCCTTGAAAGCGGCAGCTCTAGCCTCTAGCTTGGTGTGGATGTTGCCTGTAATCCATGGCTTCTGGTTGGGATATGTACATGTGGTCACTGTGGGGATGATGTTGTCGATGCACTTATTAATGAAGCTGGTGACTGATGTGGTATAATTGGTTATTGGTGCACCCGCCTGGTTTTCCAAGCAGAAATCAATCACTAGTTAAAAGGCAAGATGGAAAACCAGCATAGAGTACACTGTGATTGTCGAGGAGCTGTGCACTCCTTTATTCAAGAGCATTACAGGATACATGTTCTGGCATTGACATGATGTCTATTGATTCTTGTATGAGTAATGATGACTTGGTCCATAAGGAAATGAGTTAAGGTGGCTCTTAAGGGCTCTTGATGCCCTGTCTAGTCTACAAACACTCAGAAAACATTAAAATGACTAAATTACGTTTATGTATCATAAATGCAATTTACTTCACTGAGTGTGATGCTTAGAGAACATTCCATTGAGACAGTAATGGACTGTTCCGTTCTTCCAGGACCAGATTGCTAAAGATCTGTTCTCAGGAGAGGATGAGGAGGAGTCATCAGCTGATGACCTCACTCCCTCTGTCACCGCCCATGCCTCCGACCTCCTCCTCCGCCGCCACCTAAGAGGTACGACCAATAATGTCATATACAGTATTAGGGCTGTGACGATACCAGTATTGCAATATTTTTTTCCATGCCAAAAATGAAAACACGATGCAGACAACTCTTTGGTCCTTTAAAACCTGCTGTATGTCAAATATTGTGTGCTATAGCTTAAAAAATAGGTAAATGTAACTCTGGCTGACAACATAATGATGTTTGTTTTTAAAATTAGGGCTGTTTTCCTAAAGAAGTTAAATCCGCTTCATGTTTTGTTTCCTTGCCACGATACTAACGAGTATCGTGATACTGGTATCGCCCTGGCCTTATCCAATATCATTCTAGTATCAGACTACAGGTAACTGCAAAAATAAAGGAAACGCCAACATAAAGCATCTTAATACAGTGTTGGGCCACCACGAGCCAGAACAGCTTCATTGCACCTTGGCATAGATTCTACAAGTGTCTGAAACTCTATTGGAGGGCTGCAACACCACTCTTCCATGAGAAATTCCATCATTTGGTGTTTTGTTGATGGTGGTGGAAAACGCTGTTTCAGGCACCGCTCCAGATCAGGTGACTGAGACACACACACTCTTTAAACCCCCTATGCTCCTTTGAAGATCCCTATTTCAAAGTCACTGAGATCTCTTCTTCTAGCCTTGGTAGCCAAAGTAATGGGCAACTGGGCATTTTTATACATGACCCTAAGCATGATGGGATGTTAAATACTTAATTAACTCAGGAACCACACCTGTGTGGAAGCATCTGCTTTCAATATACTTTGTATCCCTAATTTACTCAAGTGTTTCCTTTATTTTGGCAGTTACCTTTATATAATGGGTATGACACACTCCTCCTTTCCCAGCACAGCTACCACTTCCGTAAACAGACCCCCACCCACCCAGCTCACCACTCAGAAGAATCCCCTTATCATATCACGTCCATATCTTTTTTAAATGGCCTGAGGGCCCCTTTATGGCAAAACAAATTTGTTGTACCTTGACGTTTTTAATTGGTGGTGTTATGAGAATGCTACATATTGGTGTAACAAATGTTCCCATGTGCCAGCCCATTCCCTGGCAGACGGAGACAAAGGCACCTTAGTCAGCTCCTCAGAAGATGACTCGGACGAGGATGACGACACCTCCATTCCCTCCAATGATGAACGCAAGGTGAGACACTGGGGCCTACTGAACAGAGAGAAAATACTCTACAATTACTATTTAGGGAAATATAAAAACCTGTTTTCTGTAGTGCCTGTGTGACTGACACTGTGGTTGTTATTTTTCCAGGACATCATGGTGGGCTCAATGTACCAAGCCAAAATCCCTCCTCTCAGCCCATACTCATACCAGGAGAGAGGTAACCCCCAATTGACCCTTTCAGAATCAGTGTACATTTTGGATTAGTGTGTTGACACTTTGACTCGCCTCAGTCTCACACACATCCTTATACCTGTGTCTCTATCACTATCACTAACTCTCCATCTCCTGCTCCCAGTCTATGAGAATGAGGACCAGCTCCTGTGGACCCCAGATATGTTGCCAGGCCAGGCGGTAAAGGAGTTCCTGCTAAGTGCCAAGAGACGGGGAGGCCAGGATGGGGCTGTAGACACCCTCATCAACGGGGACATAATCAAAGACAATGAACAAGTACTGTAGCGGGTTGGGTCATTTACTTTAGTTGGACGGTGTATACCATATGTATCCTCTACATACGACTAATAAAACTTGAAACTGGGTGGTAAAGCAGAAACAGAGTGGGACTGGATCTTCATATGTAAATCTATTAACTTTGTTTGCATGTCGAGTGATTTCTGGACAGTTCATACTGTGGTTGAGGTCACAGACTTCTGTCACAACTGTTAGCTTTCTTTTCTCTTTCTCTCCGTCGCTCTCAGGCCCTGTATGAGCTGGTGAAATGCAGCTTTAATGCAGAGGAGGCACTGAGACGACTGCGCTTTAATGTGAAAGTATTCAGCGGTAAGACCGTCCATGACACATTTATTACTGCTATCAAGAATGTAATATATCATCTTACTGCAACATCTTACTAGTGACAACAACTCTTTTTTATTCAATTTTTTTAGGCTCTCTTATAGTCCTCATTTGGACTAATCTTCCAAGAGTCTATTAACTCATATCAATGACTCATTAGCAGCACCAAATTATTAATTGCAATTTCATATTTGAGGACAGACAGTGAAGCAACCACCATGCCTGTAGAGTCTTCAACTCAATAACCACCGCTGTAAATAAAAAATGTGTGCTAATTCGCTACAGCTGTTTAGTCTCTGAATGATGCTAGTATTCTACATTTTAGAGCATTAAAAAAAATGATATTGTGGGACCATGGAACTTCTTTGGTTTCTTTGGAACTTAATCTTTGCTTTCCCTTGGAAATTAAATGATTTGATAGACCCACCATGAACCCATGTTAACAACAACTTAAAGATACACTTATATATTGGCCTAGGTCAAATATTTAAGCTAAGTCCCAGGGCTTGTAATCTTATTCATATCAGCAGTCCTACTCTGAAAGCCTTTTTTTAATACGGCCCTGATCTGTCATCTAGGGCTGGGACAATACCAGTATCGCGATACAAAACACAAAGCAGATTTAACTTCTTTAAGAAAACAGCCCTAATTTTGGAAACAAACATCATTATGTTGTCATCCAGAATCACATGTATTTATTTTCCAAGCTATAGCACACAATATTTTACATACAGCAGGTTTTTAAAGGACCAAAGAGTTTGGTCTGCTTCGTGTTTTCATTTTTGCCATGGAAAAAATATTGTGATACTGGTATTGTCCTAGCCCTACTGTCATCTTGACTAATGCTACAAATAGTTTTTGATTGCATTTCCGTTGCGCACATCCAAGCTGGGAGTGTAGTAAAGCCCTGCACGGGCATTAATTTTAAACCCGAGCCCATAAGTAAATCCATTAGCTGCTCTTCTCTGTCTGTCACTCGCTCCCTGCACACAGCTCGCTCTGCTCATGGCTCTCGGAGTCTGTGAGTATCCATAGCAATGGCTCAGCCTGGGCTTCTCTGCTCAATGAAGAGGCATGAGAGAGCAGTTAGCTGTTAGCTACTTTCGTCACTCTGAACTCAGACAAAGCTCAATGAACATTATTATTTTCTGTGAAATAGTATCTCCTGTTCTATATTTGATGAGGTTGAAGCACTTCTGACACCATGTTATGATCTTAGTCAGATATGACTGTACTGCGCAGCAGAGCACGAGCAAATGGCTCAGCTTCAAAATGTTAGTGATCAATTTAGTAATATCCGATCCCTGCCCGTACCCTAGTTATTGATGAAAACACAGCCCTTACCCGGCCCTAACCCAATGTATAATGTCAGGGCTCGGGTCGGGTAGCAGAGCTCTAAGAGTGTAGGTTAAAATGTAGCCTATTGTGCCCTCTCCTGTGTAAGCTGACAAATCTACCAACTCACGTTTGTTGCCTATGTTTTAGGCTTAATGCTGGTTTGATTCATTGGCTTGCGGTATTATAATATACACAAAAGTATGTGGACACCCCTTCAAATTAGTGGATTAGGCTATTTCAGCCACACCCGTTGCTGACAGGTGTATAAAATCGAGCACAGCCATGGAATCTCCATAGACAAACATTGGCAGTAGAATGGCCTTACTGAATAGCTCAGTGACTTTCAACATGCCACTGTCATAGGATGCCACCTTTCCAACAAGTCAGTTCGTCAAATGTCTGCCCTGCTAGTGCTGCCCCGGTCAACTGTAAGTGCTGTTTTTGTGAAGTGGAAACATCTAGGAGCAACAACGGCTCAGCCGCGAAGTGGTAGGACACACAAGCTCAGAGAACAGGAACGCTGAAGCGCGTACCGCGTAAAAATCATCTGTCCTTGGTTGCAACACTCACTACCGAGTTCCGAACTGCCTCTGGAAGCATGAAATGAAATGAGTTTCCATGGCCGAGCAGCCGCACACAAGCCTAAGATCACCATGCGCAATGCCAAGCGTCAGCTGGAGTGGTGTAAAGCTCGCCGCCATTGGACTCTGGAGCAGTGGAAACGCGTTCTCTGGAGTGTTGAATCACGCCTCAGTATCTTGCAGTCCGAAGGACTAATCTGAGTTTGGCGGATGCCAGGAGAATGCTACCTGCCCCAATGCATAGTGCCAACTGTAAAGTTTGGTGGAGGAGGAATAATGGTCTGAGGTTGTTTTTCATGGTTCGGGCTAGGCCCCTTAGTTCCAGTTCAAGAGAAATCTTAATGCTACAGCATACAATTACATTGTAGACGATTCTGGCTTCCAACTTTGTGGCAACAGTTTGGGGAAGGCCCTTTCCTGTTTCCGCATTACAATGCCCCTGTGCACAAAGCGAGGTCCATACAGAAATGGTTTGTCGTGATCGGGGTGGAAGAAATTGACTGGCCTGCAAAGAGCCCTGACCTCAACCCCATTGAACACCTTTGGGATGAATTGGAACGCCGACTGCGAGCCAGGCCTCATCGCCCAACATTAGTGCCCGACCTCACTAATGCTCTTGTGGCTGAATGGAATCAAGTCCCCACAGCAATGTTCCAACATCTAGTGGAAAGCCTTCCCAGAAGAGTGGAGGCTGTTGTAGCAGCAAAGAGGGGACCAACTCCATATTAATGCCATGATTTTGGAATGAGATGTTCGACAGGCAGGTGTCCACATACTTTTGGTCATGTAGTGTAGCTAGATAATGGAAGTCAAACATTCAGAGGAGTTTATGGGGTGAATGGATTAATAGTTATCATCTTGACATGGTTAGCTCCTATAATAACTGCTGTTGTCTTCTGTGCAGAGGAGCTGTGTGCCTGGAGCGAGGAGGAATGTCGAAACTTTGAACATGGCTATCGAGTTCATGGGAAGAACTTCCACCTCATTCAGGCCAATAAGGTGAGCAGCACAAAAACTACAAACGTCAGGTTTGTGGAGAACCTGATTTGCTACAAAGTTGAAATTATCTCTTTAAGTAATGGCCAAGACTGGCATCATACAGGTTACATCGAAGCACATTTTGACAGTTGCTTCGACATAACCTGAGGCGTGCCTGTGCAAACCTGCTTGTCTGCATTGATCAGACAAGAAACTCACAGATTCATACCATAGCGAACAGTAAACCACACTGTGTTTATGTGTCAGGTACGCACAAGGTCGGTGGGTGAGTGTGTGGAGTATTACTACATGTGGAAGAAGTCGGACCGCCACGAGTACTTCACCCAGCAGACCACTAAGCTGGGCCGCAAGAAGTACAGTCTGCAGTCAGGGAGCATGTGAGTAGCACTGCAGATATGACCCTCTCTAGACTTGAGAGTCAAGCAGCATTTGAATGCCATCTGAGTTGGCAAATGATACCATCAAGTTGAGTGAAGTGTAGAATTGCGGGCACTACTATGACACTACCGTCAAGTTGTTGTTGTCATGATCGTCTCCTTGGCCTGGCACCATTCCCAGAATAATAGCTTATTTAAATAGAGCGCAGGAAAATGAAAATCCGGACACAGCGGACACATTTTAATACGAGGTGTAGACGCACTGTACGGTGATGGGAATGGGTTGGATCATCTTGATCGGAATAAATAACAGATGTAGACAAGCAGAGACATTGTATCTCAATATAACCTCCACATTGTCATTGTTTTCAGACTAGAGATGTTTATTATGTTTAGCTGATACCTTGCTGGGATGCTGGGAGTCCTGGGTCGTGTTCAGTACTCATAACAATAACTAAATGGTTTGAATCTGAGAATGGAAATGAGTCTTCTTCTTGGACAAGTTCAGGTGCAGTTGGAACGTTTTTTCCTTCACACGCCGTTTCCTTCTGTTTTATGTCTTCCAGGGAGGATGGAGAGGAGGATGGAGAGGTTGGGGAGATGGAGGGGTGCTCCCAGATTCAGCCCCCCTCACATCCACCAGTCATAGACCTGGACAAGCAAGGTACCCTGCCCTGGACACCAACCTTAGCCTTGGCCCCTTCTCTAGCCCCAGTCCTATACCACAGGCCTGGCCCTGATCCCTGCCTCAGAGCATTCAAGTTTCAGAGTTTATTCGCCACGTGCACAGGATACAACAGGCGTAAAACAGTACAGTGAAATTCTTACCTTGAGAGCTCTTTCCCAACAATGCAGTGATAATAATAGAGATAAGAATAGAAAATAGAATTTAAAAAACATTTTTGTAAAAATGAAACCAACACACCACAAACACTACAGCTTGTTTTAAGACTGAGGTCATAAGAGTTAGCTGGATCCATAAGGAATAGTCATACATGCCCTCTCCTCTGAAGTCAGACATCCACCCTCTCACCATTTCATATCCACCCCACTCTTTGTCTTATTATTATTTGTCTTGATCACATTGTTTGCCTCAATTTGATGTGTTGTGTTCATGAACATATGATTTGAAGCATGTTTACAGTGAGGGAAAAAAGTTTTTGATCCCCTGCTGATTTTGTACGTTTGCCCACTGACAAAGAAATGATCAGTCTATAATTTTAATGGTAGGTTTATTTGAACAGTGAGAGACAGAATAACAACAACAAATCCAGAAAAACGCATGTCAAAAATGTTATAAATTGATTTGCATTTTAATGAGGGAAATAAGTATTTGACCCCCTCTCAATCAGAAGGATTTCTGGCTCCCAGGTGTATTTTATACAGGCAATGAGCTGAGATTAGGAGCACACTCTTAAAGGGAATGCTCCTAATCTCAGTTTGTTACCTGTATAAAAGACACCTGTCCACAGAAGCAATCAATCCATCAGATTCCAAACTCTCCACCATGGCCAAGACCAAAGAGCTCTCCAAGGATGTCAAGGACAAGATTGTAGACCTACACAAGGCTGGAATAATATACAAGACCATCGCCAAGCAGCTTGGTGAGAAGGTGACAACAGTTGGTGCGATTATTCGCAAATGGAAGAAACACGGCCTGGGGCTCCATGCAAGATCTCACCTCGTGGAATTGCAATGATCATGAGAACGGTGAGGAATCCGCCCAGAACTACACGGGAGGGTCTTGTCAATGATCTCAAGGCAGCTGGGACCATAGTACCAAGAAAACAATTGGTAACACACTACGCAGTGAAGGACTGCAATCCTGCAGTGCCCGCAAGGTCACCCTGCTCAAGAAAGCACATATACATGCCCGTCTGAAGTTTGCCAATGAACATCTGAATGATTCCCTCACTGTATGTATCAGTCCCTACACCCAAACGAGGGCATTGCGTTCATCCACCTCTGGCCTGCTGGCTCCCCTTCCTCTGCGGAAGCATAGTTCCCGCTCAGCCCAGTCAAAACTGTTCGCTGCTCTGGCACCCCAATGGTGGAACAAGCTCCCTCACGACGCCAGGACAGCGGAGTCACTCACCACCTTCCGGAGACATTTGAAACCCCACCTCTTTATGGGATAGGATAAAGTAATCCTTCTACCCCCCCCCCCCCCCCCCCCCCCCCCCCCCTTAAAATAAAATAAAATAAAAATTGTAAAGTGGTTAACCCACTGGCTATAGGGTGAATGCACCAATTTGTAAGTCGCTCTGGATAAGAGCGTCTGCTAAATGACGTAAATGTAAATGTAATTCAGAGGAGAACTGGGTGAAAGTGTTGTGGTCAGATGAGACCAAAATCGAGCTCTTTGGCATCAACTCAACTCGCCGTGTTTGGAGGAGGAGGAGGAATGCTGCCTATGACCCCAAGAACACCATCCCCACCGTCAAACATGGAGGTGGAAACATTATGCTTTGGGGGTGTTTTTCTGCTAAGGGGACAGGACAACTTCACCGCATCAAAGGGACGATGGACGGGGCCATGTACCGTCAAATCTTGGGTGAGAACCTCCTTCCCTCAGCCAGGGCATTGAAAATGGGTCGTGGATGGGTATTCCAGCATGACAATGACCCAAAACACACGGCCAAGGCAACAAAGGAGTGGCTCAAGAAGAAGCACATTAAGGTCCTGGAGTGGCCTAGCCAGTCTCCAGACCTTAATCCCATAGAAAATCTGTGGAGGGAGCTGAAGGTTCGAGTTGCCAAACGTCAGCCTCGAAAGCTTAATGACTTGGAGAAGATCTGCAAAGAGGAGTGGGACAAAAACCCTCCTGAGATGTGTGCAAACCTGGTGGCCAACTACAAGAAACGTCTGACCTCTGTGATTGCCAACAAGGGTTTTGCCACCAAGTACTAAGTCATGTTTTGCAGAGGGGTCAAATACTTATTTCTCTCATTAAAATGCAAATCAATTTATAACATTTTTTACATGCGTTTTTCTGTATTTTTTTGTTGTTATTCTGTCTCTTACTGTTCAAATAAACCTACCATTAAAATTATAGACTGATCATTTCTTTGTCAGTGGGCAAACGTACAAAATCAGCAGGGGATCAAATACTTTTTTCCCTCACTGTATGTATTGTTTTATCCCACCTGTGTGTGTCTTTGTTTTCCCATTGGTTTGTGTGTTTCTACCTTTGTGTTGGCATGGTGTTCCAGAGGAGGAGGGCCGTCCCCGTCGCAGACGAACGCCCCGCTTTCTCTTAAAGCCCTGATCTCACTGCACACAGGCCACTCTAACCAGGCAGGGCCACCAGGTAAAGACTCTAACCAGGCAGGGCCACCAGGTAAAGACTCTAACCAGGCAGGGCCACCAGGTAAAGACTCTAACCAGCCAAGGCCACCAGGTAAAGACTCTAACCAGGCAGGGCCACCCACCAGGTAAAGACTCTAACCAGGCAGGGCCACCCACCAGGTAAAGACTCTAACCAGGCAGGGCCACCCACCAGGTAAAGACTCTAACCAGGCAGGGCCACCCACCAGGTAAAGACTCTAACCAGGCAGGGCCACCCACCAGGTAAAGACTCTAACCAGGCAGGGCCACCCACCAGGTAAAGACTCTAACCGGGCAGGGCCACCCACCAGGTAAAGACTCTAACCAGGCAGGGCCACCCACCAGGTAAAGACTCTAACCAGGCCAACCTATTTCTGCTGTTGCTGTTTTTGCTGATTGAAAGTATGAAGCCAAACAAGTTTCATGAGGTCAGGTTTTCATGAGGTCAGAACTAGAGCAGGCTCTTTTCCCAAATACTTGTGAAGGCATTATGCTTCTCAGGCCAGGAAGTTGCATGAAATCTAAAATCCCAAACCATAATAAAATCTTAAGGCTTATGAAAAGTCTCTCATTGGAGGGTTAGCTTTTTAAAGTTTTGTTTTGGCTTCCTCACAATAATTTTTAACCTTAAATGTTTTATGAATAGTTTATTTTCATTATTTTAATAATTTAATAATTTAAATTATCAAATAAAATGTTATTTGTCACATGCGCCGAATACAACAAATACCTTGAAATGCTTACCATCTTACCATGTTCACCAGCTTTGTTATATTGTACTTTCAGTCTGAAACCATAACATTTTGTAAAGAGCTGATTGTCCCTTTTAGCTCAGGTGGTAGAGCAGGTTGTGGGTTCAATTCCCACGGGGGTACCAGTACGAAAAAAGTATGAAAATGTATGCACTCAGTACTGTAAGTTGCTCTGGATAAGAGCGTCTGCTAAATGACTAAAATGTCAAATGTAATTGTAATATTAACCAGGTTTCCATCCAACCATTTCATGCTAATGAATTACCTGATGCAAAAAAAATCAAGACAGGCCTCATGGAAACAGCAAATTTGTCGGTAGAATTTCCTTATGTCGACAAAACAAAATACGCTAGACAAGGGTGGATAATTTTTTTGTCGGTTAAATAGATTCTGACAATTATGGTGGAAACTTAGTTACGCAATGATATGTTACGTTATAGCATACTACGACCACAACGTGGACAAGCATGAAGAGTTTATAGGCAGACTAAATAAATTATGATGAACTTCACATGGTGGTTAAGTGCACGATGAGCTTCATGCAAATGTCCAACTAATATTGAGGGTATATTTGAATGCTGGTGACATGATAATCAGTGCTTTGTTGCCAATTATCAAATAGAAATGATCTTGCTGTTGTCCATATCTCATCATATAACCTATCCTTCCCATCTTATCAACTAACTGTTGTCTACAGAGCATGCGTCAAAACCAGGTTGGGCAAGTTTGCTATTTATCGCAAAAGTTTTTGTGACAAAGTCATTAGTAGAGTTGAAAATGTGATGGAAACACATTCAACTTTTATTTTGGAAACTTGAGTGGTTTTTATGTGCACTACGTCGTCATGCACTACGTCGTCATGCACTACGTCGTCATGCACTACGTCGTCATGCACTACGTCGTCATGCACTATGTCATCATGCACAGCTTTTTATCCGCAACAAGTCAGTTTGATGGAAACACACCTCTGGTGGGAAAATGCTACATTTATTTAAATGCAGATTTTATAATATTCGCAAATTGGATGGAAACCTAACTAGTAAGGGGAAAAAAGGGAACCACTGCCCAATGTCAGTAGCTGGGTTTCCATCCAATTGGTGACAGATTTCCATGCGAATATTCTAAAACCTCCCACCAGAGGTGTGTCTCCCTCAAACTGACTTGTTGCGGATAAAAACCTGTGTGTGATGACCTATTGCACATACAGTGCATTACAGCCTTACTGTAAAATGGATTAAATAGTTTTTTTCCCTCATCAAGCTACACACAATACCTCATAATGACAAAGCAAAAACAGGTTTTTAGAAATACCTTATTTATAAGTATTCAGACTCTCGAGATTGAGCTCAGGTGCATCCTGTTTCCATTGATCATCCTTGAGATGTTTCTACAACTTGATTGGAGTCCACCTGTGGTAAATTCAATTGATTGGACATGATTTGGAAAGGCACACACCTGTCTACAGTGAGGGAAAAAAGTATTTGATCCCCTGCTGATTTTGTACATTTGCCCACTGACAAAGACATGATCAGTCTATAATTTTAATGGTAGGTTTATTTGAACAGTGAGAGACAGAATAACAACAACAACATCCAGAAAAACGCATGTCAAAAATGTTACAAATTGATTTGCATTTTAATGAGGGAAATAAGTATTTGACCCCTCTGCAAAACATGACTTAGTACTTGGTGGCAAAACCCTTGTTGGCAATCACAGAGGTCAGACGTTTCTTGTGTGAAAACCTGGTGGCCAACTACATCTCAGGAGGAATTTTGTTCCACTCCTCTTTGCAGATCTTCTCCAAGTCATTAAGCTTTCGAGGCTGACGTTTGGCAACTCGAACCTTCAGCTCCCTCCACAGATTTTCTATGGGATTAAGGTCTGGAGACTGGCTAGGCCACTCCAGGACCTTAATGTGCTTCTTCTTGAGCCACTCCTTTGTTGCCTTGGCCGTGTGTTTTGGGTCATTGTCATGCTGGAATACCCATCCACGACCCATTTTCAATGCTCTGGCTGAGGGAAGGAGGTTCTCACCCAAGATTTGACGGTACATGGCCCCGTCCATCGTCCCTTTGATGCGGTGAAGTTGTCCTGTCCCCTTAGCAGAAAAACACCCCCAAAGCATAATGTTTCCACCTCCATGTTTGACGGTGGGGATGGTGTTCTTGGGGTCATAGGCAGCATTCCTCCTCCTCCAAACACGGCGAATTGAGTTGATGCCAAAGAGCTCGATTTTGGTCTCATCTGACCACAACACTTTCACCCAGTTCTCCTCTGAATCATTCAGATGTTCATTGGCAAACTTCAGACGGCCCTGTATATGTGCTTTCTTGAGCAGGGGGACCTTGCGGGCACTGCAGGATTTCAGTCCTTCACGGCGTAGTGTGTTACCAATTGTTTTCATGGTGACTATGGTCCCAGCTGCCTTGAGATCATTGACAAGATCCTCCCGTGTAGTTCTGGGCTGATTCCTCACCGTTCTCATGATCATTGCAACTCCACGAGGTGAGATCTTGCATGGAGCCCCAGGCCAAGGGAGATTGACAGTTCTTTTGTGTTTCTTCCATTTGCGAATAATGGCATCAACTGTTGTCACCTTCTCACCAAGCTGCTTGGCGATGGTCTTGTAGCCCATTCCAGCCTTGTGTAGGTCTACAATCTTGTGCCTGACATCCTTGGAGAGCTCTTTGGTCTTGGCCATGGTGGAGAGTTTGGAATCTGATTGATTGATTGCTTCTGTGGACAGGTGTCTTTTATACAGGTAACAAGCTGAGATTAGGAGCACTCCCTTTAAGAGTGTGCTCCTAATATCAGCTCGTTACCTGTATAAAAGACACCTGGGAGCCAGAAATCTTTCTGATTGAGAGGGGGTCAAATACTTACTTCCCTCATTAAAATGCAAATCAATTTATAACATTTTTGACATGCATTTTCCTGGATTTTTTTGTTATTATTCTGTCTCTCACTGTTCAAGTAAACCTACCATTAAAATTATAGACTGATTATTTCTTTGTCAGTGGTCAAACGTACAAAATCAGCAGGGGATCAAATACTTTTTTCCCTCACTGTATATAAGGTCCCACAGTTGACAGTGCATGTCAGAGCAAAATCCAAGCCATGTGGTCGAAGGAATTGTCCTTAGAGCTCCAAGAAGGGATTGTGTCGAGGCACAGATCTGGGGAAGGGTACCAAAAAATGTTTGCAGCATTGAAGGTCACCAAGAACACAGTGGCCTCCATCATTCTTAAATGGAAGAAGTTTGGAACCACCCAGAATCTTCCTAGAGCTGGCCGCCCGGCCAAACTGAGCAATCGGGGGAGAAGGGCCTTGGTCAGGGAGGTGACCAAAAACCTGATGGTCACTCTGACAGAGCTCCAGAGTTCCTCTGTGGTGATGGGAGAACCTTCCAGAAGGACAACAATCTCTGCAGCACTCCACCAATCAGGCCTTTATGGTAGAGTGGCCAGACGGAAGCCACTCTTCAGTAAAAGGCACATGACAGCCCGCTTGGAGTTTACCAAAAGGCACCTAAAGGACTCTCAGACCATGAGAAACAAGATTCTCTGGTCTGATGAAACCAAGATGTAACTCTTTGGCCTGAATGCCAAGTGTCACGTCTGGAGGAATCCTGGCACCATCCCCACGGTGAAGAATGGTGGTGGCAGCATCATGCTGTGGGGATGTTTTTCAGCGGCAGGGACTGGGAGACCAGTCAGGATTGAGGGAAAGATTAACTGAGCAAAGGACAGAGAGATCCTTGATGAAAACCTGCTCCGGAGCGCTCAGACTGGGGCGAAGGTTCACCTTCCAACAGGACAACGACCCTAAGCACACAGCCAAGTCTCTGAATGTTCTTGAGTGGCCTAGCCAGAGCCCGGACTTGAACCTGATCGAACATCTCTGGAGAGACTTGAAAATAGCTGTGCAGCGACGCTCCCCATCCAACCTGACAGAGCTTGAGAGGATCTGCAGAGAAGAATGGGAGAAACTCCCCAAATACAGGTGTGCCAAGCTTGTAGCGTCATACCCAAGAAGACTCGAGGCTGTAATCGCTGCCAAAGATACTTCAAAGTACTGAGTAAAGGGTTTGAATACTTATGTAAATGTGATATCTCAGGTTTTTATTGTATATATACATTTGCAAAAATTTCTAAAAACCTGTTTTTGCTTTGTCATTATGCGGTTTTGTGTTGTGTGTACATGTCTTTTTTATTTTTTTTATCAATATGGCTGTAACGTAACAAAATGTGGAAAAAGTAAAGTGGTCTGAATACTTTCCGAATGCATTGTATATACAAAAGTAGTGGATTCGGCTATTTCAGCCACACCGGTTGCTGACAGGTGTATAAAATCAGGCACACAGCCATGCAATCTCCATTGACCAACATTGGCAGTAGAATGGCCTTACTGAAGAGCTCAGTGACTTTCAACGTGGCATGAAGTGGTAGGCCACACAAGCTCACAGAATGGGACCACCAAGTGCTGAAGTGCGTAGCGCGTAAAACTCGTCTGTCCTCGGTTGCAACACTCCCTACCAAGTTCCAAACTGCCTCTGGAAGCAACGTCAGCACAATAACTGTTCGTCGGGAGCTTCATGAAATGGGTTTCCATGGCCGAGCATCTGCACACAAGCCTAAGATCACGCTTCACCATCTGGCAGGCCGACGGACGAATCTGGGTTTGGCGGATGCCAGGAGAACACTACCTGCCCGAATGCATAGTGCCAACTGTACAGTTTGGTGGAAGAGGAATAATGATCTGGGGCTGTTTTTCATGGTTCGGGCTAGGCCCCGTAGTTCCAGTGAAGGGAAATCTTAATGCTACAGCATACAATGACATTCTCAACGATTCTGTGCTTCCAACTTTGTGGCAACAGTTTGGGGAAGGACCTTTCCTGTTTCAGCATGATAATATCTCTGTGCGCAAAGCGAGGTCCATACAGAAATGGTTTGTCGAGATCGGTGTGGAAGAACTTGACTGGCCTGCACAGAGCCCTGACCTCAACCCCATCGAACACCTTTGGGATGAATTGGAACGCCGACTGCGAGCCATGCCTAATCGCCCAACATCAGTGCCCGACCTCACTAATGCTCTTGTGGCAGAATGGAAGTAAGTCCCCGCAGCAATGTTCCAACATCTAGTGGAAAGCCTTCCCAGAAGAGTGGAGGCTGTTATAGCAGTAAAGGGGGGACCAACTCCATATTAATGCCCATTATTTTGGAATGAGATGTTTGACGAGCAGGTGTCCACACACTTTTGGTAATGTAGTGTATTTCTGTATTTCATTTTCAATACATTTGCAAAAATGTCTGAAAACATGTTTTCACTTTGTCATTATGTGATATTGTGTCTAGATGGTTGAGAATTTTTTATTTTATTAATTTGAATTCAGGTTGTAACACAACAAAATGTGGAATAAGTCAAGGAGTATGAATACTTTCTGAAGGCACTGTAAAATAACTTTCGTGCATAAATGTACAGATTATAAAAAACATAAGTTCAATGTGTTTCCATCACATTTTCAACTCTATCGATGGTTTTGGCACACATATTGTTGTGATAAAAAGCATACTTGCCCAATCTGGTTTTGGTGCATGCTTTCTAGACAACAGTTGGCTGATAAAGTGGACATGGTAGATTATATAATGCGATATGGTTAAGAGCGAGTGTTACATCTCCTCCCGTTGCTCCCCTCCGCCGGTCTACTGAGCCACCGGTCTGAGCGCAACACCTCGGCAACACCGGAATGGAAACCCAACGCACCCTAATCACCTCCAGCGCACCTGCACCTCGTCATCTCATCACCACCCCTATGTAGCCCTGGACAGTTCAGCGTTGTTGTGTGTGATTGTTAGTGTCTTGTCGTGTACTCGCACTTTGTTGTTCTCTTGCTCAGTGTTAAGTAAACCTTTATATTGATTCCTGCGTCTGCGTCTTCGTATCCTCAGTACTCGTCACAGTGAGATACAATTTTTTTTATAGATAATTGGCAGCCAAGCGCCGAACATCATGTCACATTCAAATAATAGACCCTACCCTCGATATTTATTGGAAATTTGCATGAAGCTCATCACCGTGCACTTAACCACCATAAGTTATGAAGTTTTGAAATAAGTTATGAAATAACTTATTTCATCTCCCTATAAACTCTGCATGATTTTCCATGTTGTGGTGGTAGTACAATGTAACATCATCGCGTGACTCCAAGGTTACTGCGATATGATGGTTATTATATCAATATTTGCTCTGTCGGTTACCGTTGAGGTAGTGCTTGTTCAAGTCTCTCTTTAGTAATTCTCTGCTTGTCTAGATGCTGAGTTGGGGATGGAGGTGTTGGAGCTGTGTGGCGCTCCTTGCCCTAGCCCACCGAGGGAGCAGCTGTTCAGCCACTTCTCTCCACTCCCCCCTCTGGAGGACCTGCAGCAGGAGCCCTCTCTGAACTGTTGCAGCCCGGGCCTCTGTCCCACCTTGCCTCCTGCCCAGCTCCACCCCTCCTCACGGCCCTGCTGCAGCCCCCCGTCCCCCCCAGCGGAGCCTCCTCTCCTGGGTTCTGGCTTCTACCAGCTGCAGCTGGGGCCTTTCCTTCCAGACGGCCTGTCCACGGGGCCAGAGGATGGGGCCTCCCAGGGGCTGCAGGTAGACTTCTCCCTGCCCTCCGTCCCCCAGCCCTCACCCGCCATTGCCCCCTCAGTCTCCATCACTTCAGACTTTGGGGCCATCAGCAGTTACCTGTGTCCCTCAGCCCTGTGCCCCCCTCCCATCCAGCACCCCCGCTCTCTCACACAGTAAGGGGAGGAAGAAGGGTGTCTTTACCCTGGAGAACATTCCAATAACATATGGGTTGTCTATACTTCTAATTATTGCCTGTTGAAGTAAACTTGGACCAGAGCTTACCCATGTGATGGTGTGAAACTCCCCAGGAGAGAAACTGTGTTTTTACGGGGAGATGGGCCTACCTGTATCATAGTGTTTACTAGGGGGGACTCCCACTGCTCACAAGCACAATGGCTTACCTACCTGTCTGTTCTGGAAGGCCAGTCGTTCTACAGGGATGTTCCCAGTTCTTAGAGAATTCTTAGGTAATGTTGGTACTGGAAAAGCGGCTGGGCTTGTTGATAGTTCCAAGGCCAAAGCAATTAGCCTGATGTTCTTTGCAGTGACCACCTCCTCTTCCAGAGCAGAACTAGCGACAGATTTAAGCCCTGTTTACTGGGAACAATGAGAAGCAGACAGACAGCATGACCTGGATGCCGTATTATAGCAGTATGTCCACAAGAGATGTTCTCCCTCTATCGGTTCTGATAAGGCTGTTTCTATGAGCAGGGTTCAGTCTGCACTTGTACGACTCTTCACCACTCTGACTGTGGATCTCTTAGGTAGGATCAGCCTCCCTGGTTCACTGTGGTTCCACCTCTCTTGAACATCCACAACTGAAACTGAAGGTTTTGTATACAGTCTGTTCAAAAGGAAAGATCTGTATAAAAATATCATGAAACAATGCTTTTGAGATTGTCACAATGTTTTATTTTCTTGTTACTTGTTGTTCAGAAATGTCTTGGAAGGTTTGCAATAAGAAACCAGAGTTTTTGATGGGAGTACTTTTGTGTTTTTTCTAGTTTATGTTGACATTTGAAAGGTCTTGTACAGTACCAAACTCTCACAATTGCCTGACAACCACGGTAGGCACATTAGCCTGTGTTTTGCACATTATTGTACATGTTACTTTAGGTAAGTCACTGAATACACAGTTACTCAGGTTTTGTAGCCTCTGGCTTCTTCCATGTATCTCAACTCCTGTTGTGTGATTAAGTGTTGAATATTGCCCTGAACCACACATGCAACCTTGGGGATAACAGTCATTGTAAAAGCCCAATGGCATTGAAGGACATCAACCCAAAAGGGGTGTGTTCAGAAGGGTGCAATGTTATGAACGTTGCAGATGGAGAATGTGATATATAGAGCTAATATAGCTAGCTATACAGTCCCCAGGTTTCAGTGATGCTCTACAGGATCCTGCCACTAGAGGATCTCGGCTGTCACATAGTCTGAAGAGCGCCTGCCTGCTTCACAACCCCTGCTCAGGTGGGCCCGAAGAGAATACGTCCCCTGTGCTCTCTGCCCTGACAGCAGGAAAACTCCATGTCTTTATTTATTTTTATAGGTGGGGTCATCCTCTACTCCCTGCTCTGACCTAAGCTGTTCTAGATCCGTGTTTTCTTCAACTGTTTACAGGCGGTTCTGGGTGTTGACTATCGGGGCAGGAAAGGGAGTAGAAACACTGCCTTTGTTTATTATTCTTTTGCATTTATATCATACTGCTTCTGTTTATGTTGGTTTGTAATTCTAATTGTTATATTTTGTAAAAAAGAAAAGAAAAATAACCTATTAAAAATACACATGTTGACAATGAAAGTCATTGCACACACACACATACACACTTTATTTTACTATTGAAGTGGGTATCAAACAATTTATTCCCATTCCTATTTTCCTAAACCCCTAACCCTAAAACTAAACATACTCCTAACACTAATCTTAACGCCTAACCCTAATTGTAACCCTAACCCTAAATCTAATCTAACCCCTAAACCTAAAATAGCATTTTTCCTTTTGCGGACCGGCGAAATGTCCCCACTTTTTCCTTATTTTACTATTCTTGTGAGGACTTTTGGAACCCAAAAGGACGGTCAAGTTAGACCACACACAAGTACTTGAATCCTAGTCTTGTGTGCAAAACTGCACACTAGACTTTAATCAAATTTACATCATTGTACCCAAATTAATCTTTGTGGACAGACTACTTATCTGACCAAATTACAGGAGTTTCTAGTTCTGGATTAACCAAGATTATACCCACAGAGGCAATACAAAAAAATCCATCCTGTGATTGTGTGGTGCCATAATAGTAGCTGAAAAACCCACTGCACTGTGGAGATAGGTTATTCAGCAGCAACTTGGTTAACATAGAACCCATACTAAATAACCCAGTAGCTGAAAATGATCTCGAGAGTACTCAGGTACTGGCCTTTCTACTATGGTATAACCAGGCTTCAAATTCACCTGGATAATAATATGTCATTTAGCAGACGCTTTTATCCAAAGCGACTTACAGTCATGTGTGCATACATTTTTACGTATGGGTGGTCCCGGGGATCGAACTTACTACCCTGGCGTTACAAGCGCCATGCTCTACCAATTGAGCTACAGAGGACCACATGGATCTACTGTCCATTCCTGCATTCTGTTCTTTTAACATAGTGTTTTCAACTTACATATCTGACACACTTTGACCTAGATGTTTACATTGTACATGTTCATTTAAAGAGGTATTATTATTTAACAGTCCTCACATGGGTTTTGAACCAACAACCTCTTGGTTCCTGATTCTTTCTGCAACGCCACCATGTCCGTGTCCATACCAGTTATCGGTTAATCTGACTATTGTCATCATTGATTTGATTTATTTATTTCAGCAAGTTACGGCTTTCTGTATAGTTGTCTAATGTTGGTGGGGCGTGTTAACCTGTTTTAATGATACTCATGAACAGGGGTGAAAGTATAATTCATTTCTTCCCGGTAAAGGACCACATAATCATATAATTACATATATAATCTCGATTAATTCAATATGATCTCTGTGGAACTAGTCATAAAGATGTATAATTTAAGTTCTGAAATGTAGACCTAATACGTTTTTATTGTGGCATAAACAACCAGTTATTATGTTTTCGTCAGATTGTCAAACAATCACGTGTAGGCTACGGCTGATTGTACACATGTTGTTGAAATATGAGAGGTTACTGAAGAGCATCGTCATGAGGGGTGGGGGCTCCGCAGGGGAACAGGGTGAGCAATACTAGTTTTGTTCCTGGAACTGTCACACGGCTTCACACTGTATATTCAGAGCTCTGCTGTGTGACACCATTAGTGGCAGCAGACCCCTTTCCATTCTTATTTACACAGGCAAGACAAGCTGCTTATGACCCATATCTTAGACCAGAGGCTTCAGATAGGCTGTCAGGTGGTTAACTGGACTCGGGGTGCTGGAGGGATAGGGATTCATCGTAACTCGAGGATGGACAACAGGAGTTTGGCACTTGTGGCACTTTATGTCGGACTTCATATTTGCACTGCTACAGGTGAGAGTTTGTATAACTTTTTTAAGTGTTGTTTCTACATACATTGGAAGTTGGAACAAGTCTTGTTTCTCTTATGAAAGTTAAAAAAAACTAGCTGTTTAAGAGACCTTGATTAAATACTAGGGTGATGTAAAAATTGGCGTGCTGCTACCTACCAAGCTAACAACAAACATTCCCAAAACTTTAGAGAACATTCCCTTAAGAGTCTCATTAGGTAATTAACTAACGTTTTCATAAGAATGTTCCCTTGATGTGCAAGGAATGTTTCCAAGAGACCATTCCCTTAATGTAAAATATAACTTACCCAGAATGTCGTTACCATGTTCTCAGAATTTAAGATATTAATGTTCTAGACATGCTTCATGGGAACGTTGCAATAACATTAATGTGTCCAGTTTTCTGAGGGTTAGGAGAATATTCCCTCAACTTCCCACAAAACATACACAGAACATGGTTGCCATGTTCTCAGAACATAAGATATTAATGTTCATGTTTCATGGGAACATTGCAAGAACATTCATGTGTCCAGTTTTCTGAGGTTTAGGAGAATATTCAATCAATATCCCACCAAACATGGTTGCCATGTTCTCAGAATAGAAGATAATGTTCTCTTTAGGAGAATATTCAATCAATATCCCACCAAACATGGTTGCCATGTTCTCAGAATAGAAGATAATGTTCTTGACATGTTTCATGCTAACGTTGCAAGAACATTAATGTGTCCAGTTGTAAGGATGTCGCCTGATGGGCCCTGTGTAGCTCAGTTGGTAGAGCATGGCGCTTGCAACGCCAGGGTTGTAGGTTTGTTTCCCACGGGGGGCCAGTATGAAAATGTATGCACTCACTAACTGTAAGTCGCTCTGGATAAGAGCATCTGCTAAATGACTAAAATGTAATGATCCCAAAGAAATGTTATCCCCAAAAATGTTTATTTCATTACACATCACGCCTTATTTATGTTGCAGAGCCAATCAAGGCTCTGATCGGTGAACCACTAATCCATTCATACAGTTGAAGTTGGAAGTTTACATACACTTAGGTTGGAGTCATTAAAACTTGTTTTTCAACCACTCCACAAATTTCTTGTTCTATATCGTGGCGCTCCGCCCCATAGGGGAGCTCTGCTCCTAATGGTTTACCCTCTGCCCTAAGGCAGCAGCAGCCTGAGACAAAATTATGCACACACCTACAGCCAATAGGAGTACAGGTGTCCCTATAAGAGGGGGTGCCTCCCCTCAATCAGCCTCCCTTTTTCTTCAGCGACTGGACTAGACTGAAGAAGCCAAGAAGAGATGAAGAGAAGACTCAGGACGAAGAAAACGCCGTCGATTTTCCAGATCATCGACGTCGTCCTACAATGAGCACACCAAGCTTATCCATAGGGTAAGTATTTAACAAAAGCTCTTTTCAGAGCTCAATGTCGCTGTTCCCCTTGGCGGCTGTCGACCCCCCCCAACATATGTTTCGTGGGTTGAGGGACACAGCACGCCAGGGACAGTTTCATTAATCCCCCACTATGCGCCAGCTGCGCCCTCCTTTTTTGAAGGAGTGGAAGCAGAGTTGGGCATTTTTAGGGAGGATATTCCTCTTGAGGATGTGCTATCAGTGTTAGTCTCAGCTTCTGAGGCATCATCTGAAGGCGCTGACTCAGGAGATGACAGGGCTATTGGGGAAGAAATGAATATTCTATTGGAACAATTCATTACACTGACCCAGATGTTTAACACCCCTTTTCCTTCGGGAAATTGTGAGGTCATTACATCCCTGGATGATGACGCCACAGCCTCTCTGTGCCTGAATTCTCAGGTCTCATTGAGTGGGCTGCTAAACAGCGGGAGATTAAGCTGCCCCTCATTCCCTCCAACCCGGAAGTGGATATGAGGAAGGGCGGCCGTTACTCTCGCTACAGCTTGGCGTCAGACGGCGGCCTCCAGCAGCAAGGGAGCGGGCCTCGCCCCCCCCTGCAG